GTGCTGACAAAGAAGCAAACTGACAATTACAATGCTAAATCCAAAATGGGGACTTTGGGGACCATTTAAGCTTGGAAGGACAAGATGTCAAAAAAAGCACAGGTAAAGCCTGAGGTGAGCTTTTAAGGCTGAGTAAGAGTAAAGCAAGCAAAGGGGAGCATTTCAGACCAAGGGAGCAACAAGGTCAAAGGGCTTAAAGGCAGAGATGTGAGAAAGTTCAGGAAACTTCAAGTGATCCACTTTGGCTGGTGGCTAGAGTGCAGTTGTGGTGGCAAGGGGTCACTTGCACTTCCTGAACACACAATTCCAACAGCTTCTCCAAGTAAACACAATATAGTACAAAGAGTATCCTTACCACTCCAGAATGGCTTCATAATACAAGTTCCCCCAGCCCCACTTGACCATTAACATATTAATTATAAAGTCATACACAGTATAATGAGGCAAAGCGCAGTAAAGGGAGCAATGGACAGGAACTTACCAATAAGTCACTGTGGCCCTTCCTAGTGAGGTCAGCTGCCCCATTTGTTAAATGAGTAGTTCACCCTGCCCTGATGGTCCTTAAAGTCCCCTTGTCACTTTATTTTGGAAGGACCCCACCATGCATACATTACTAGAGGATCAAATGTAAAGGTCTATAAAACTCCACAAACCTCAGGCTGATCTGCAACTAATCCTCCTCTAATGCCTACTCTGGCATCATTTCATAAAAGGCATTGCAATCTAATTGCAATGTTTCCTATCAGTTCATGAATAATTCTTATTAGAAATCAGAATGAATTAGATGAATAAAATACTCATATAGAAGTTCAGAAATCAGAGCCTTCTCTTGGGCTCCTATAAAAGGGAAAACAATAGACCAGGTGTGGTGGCTCACGACTAAAATCCCCAGAGGGAGTGACGAAAGAGGATAGCTTGAAGCCAGGAGTTTGAGACCAGCCTGGGCAACACAGCAAGACCCTGTCTCTATTTTTTTTTTTTAATTAGCCAGGTGTGGTGGCATATGTTTGTAGTCTCAGCTTCTTGAAAGGCTAAGGCAGCAGGACTACTTGAGCCCAGGAGTTTGAGATTACAGTGAGTTGTGATCATGTCACTGTGCTCCAGCCGGGGTGGCAGAACAAAACACTGTCTCTAAAAATAAAAGATGAAAAAACAAGGGAATTTCATTTTTTAACTCGTTTTTGCCTCAGTCTTATCAGTGCTCCTATAAAGAAAATGTATGAACTATTCAAAGTGACAACAAAGGTAATATCTGCATATAGGAAGATTCACGTTAAGCCTACACAGAAAGTTTATCAATAATAATAAATTTAAAATTAGGTCCTTGAGTCAATCACAAGTCCCACAATCAGAATTAGGGTAAGTTTTCAGGCTTCTCAGCACATCGCAATTACTCAGACCTGTTCCTAAAAGCAAGTAGCTTTGGGGAACCTCCCATTGAAATTTTAATTCAGCAGAGGAACAATTACAAAAGTGTGAGTTTCACAAAACTCTTAGGAGATTCTCATGAGAGATGGCCATGGGACCACCCAAAATTTGCAAGAACCTGAATCTAATAGTTAGGAATGAGAGAAAAGGCACACAGGAGGGAAACATGCAGAAATGAAGGTATTCGCTTCAGGTGCCTTCCTGGGCAGTAGGAAGTAAACAGAGACTGAGGGAAGGGGAATAGCTATACCTGGGTCTGGGTGGAGACCTACTCTTCCACTCATTAAATATTTATTGTATGCCCATATATATCAAGCACTGTACTAGGCACTGTGGATTACACAAGTAAACAAGACAAGTGGCTCGGTGCCCGTTGCTCAGTGGTTAGGGTGTCAGCCACATACACTGGGGCTGGTGGGTTCAAACCTGGCCTGGGCCTGCTAAACAACAATAAAAACAACAACAACAAATAGCCGGGCATTGTGGCAGGCACCTGTAGTCCCAGCTACTTCGGAGGCTGAAGCAAGAAAATCACTTAAGCCCAAGAGTTTGAAGTTGCTGTGAGCTGTGACACCAAGGCACTCTACTGAGGGTGACATACTGAGACTCTGCCTAAAAAAAAAAAAAAAAAACAAGACAAGGTTCGTGCTGTCATATTTAACCATGAACTTCTCTTGCAAACCTCTCTACCTACCTGTTAAAATTACTGCAGTTGCTCAGTCAATCCTATAGCCCAAGATACCCCAATGATGCCACTGAAGAACATTTGAGCACAAGAAGCAGGAAGAATGAAAACAACAACCCAACAAAAATTTACCTATTCTTGTTTCTCCACAACTGGGCCTCCAAGTGATACTGCAGCTGGGAAGAAAGGTTTTCTTAGCCTCTGAAAGCACTGCAGAAGCCCCTGGAGGTGCTTTCTGCCTCAGAAAGGTTTGTAGTGTCAGAGGTTGGGTTGAATAAAGGTTTCTCAGACTAAGCCTTATCAAGGTAAACATGGGTTAACCAAAATGGCAATCCCCAGTAAAGTACATCCCAGAGGGACACTCTACCCTGTCCCTACCCTCAGTGTCTCCCTTTTGGACAACACAGGCCTCCTGCCAAACTAGTCTCCCTAAAGCACAGGGCAGGTGGTACTACCCCCTGCCCCAGGATAGATTCTAAAGTACTGGGTGGGTATTTGCGATCCTCTAACACTTTGGCCCCTATTTCCCCTTACCCACTTCCTATGATCCCCTGAATCCACTTTACCGTTTCTTCCTTCTCAAACTTTGTTAGATATCTTTTTGTTGGCGTCCCTGCGTACTCCCTTCCTGTTTTTCTGGGCCCATTTCAAATAGTACCTTTTCTAGAACCTGTGACCCTCTTGGCAAAGAAAGCCTCTGTTCTCTGAAGTCTGCACTTGAGAAATGGGCACTTTTCCTACAGTCAGAAGAACTTTCTTGGCTACACAATTCATCTTCCAAGGCAGAATGTTCTCTTTGAGAATAAGGATTGATTTTATGCTTTTTTATATCCCTTATCGGGATTTAGCACACTGCCTCACTCTCTGTGGAGCACCTCAATAGCAACTTTTTATTATATCAGGGAATTCGCTTCATTTCATTGTATTATTTTAAAGCATAGATCAGTTACAAATCTACTCCCAAGGCCATGCTAATGAAGTAGAAACAACTCTCTGATATGAACATAAAGGCAAAGTTTCACTAATCTAAGCATATTTCATGCACTACTATGAAGAGACCCTGGGGATATTTGGGCTTTTGCATTTTATTTACTTATTTATTTTTGGAGATGGAGTCTCATATGTCGCCCTTGGTAGAGTGCCGTGACATCACAGCTCACAGAAACCTCAAACTCTTGGGCTTAAGTGAGTCTTTTGCCTCAGCCTCTCAAGTAGCTGGGACTATAGATGCCCACACAATGCCTAGTTATTTTTTAGAGATGGGGTCTGGGTTTTGCTCAGGCTGGTCTCCAATTCCTCAGATCAGGCGATCCACCCACCTCAGCCTCCCAGAGTGCTAGGTTTACAAGCGTGAGCCACCACGCCTGGCCTGGGCTTTTTAACTTTCCTCCACTACTTTCCTCTACTTTCTCCATCACTTCCACTCCACTCCACCCTCATTCAAAACCACTTCAGCCTTTTAAGTGTCCTAGGACCTTTTCTTCCAAGCTCTTTTTACCCTTACTCCGCTCCTAATATTCTTTCAGGGTAGAGGAGGTAGATCTTTCTCCTCATTGCAAAGTGCATCCCTCAGGCAATTTCAGGAGTCCAAGGCTAGGTGCCCTAATATCCAGAGTGGTGATTTTGAGTACTAATGAGCTCAACACATTTATAATACAAGATCTGTGCTAGTTAGGCAAATTTCAAATATAGAACAGTAGCTTCCAGCTCAAGCACAGAGATTCTACTTGCTGATTTCTAAATTTATCTATTTTGCTGCTTTTTCTAAAGCATAATGGGTTTTAACATTTTACGGATTTTTATTTCTAGAGAAGGAAGAACATCTATTGAGTACCTTTAGGTGCCAAGTATTGTGCTAGACAGTTAAAATAAGACTTCATCGGACCCTCACAATGATCTTAGGAGACACACAGTTCTACTTTATAGATGAAAACCTGAGGTCAATAGACATTAATTAACTCACCCAAAATCATGCAGTCACACATTTGTGGAGCTAGGATTTCCACTGTTGGTCCTCTTAATACACAGCTCATACTCTTTTAGTTACACCAAGTTGTTACGTACTCTCAATTAAAACCCAGAAGTTCATTCTGACTACATGGTCTTCCACTTCAAAACAAAGATCAAAAAAGATGTAATCTCAGAAAAAGGAATTTTTTAGATTCCACTGGGCCTTTATCTTATTTTAGCAGGATCTCAAGTGCTGTGTTAGTTTTCCTAAAAGGCGCACTAAATTGACTCAGGTCGAGTATTACCCACCCAACTGTAATAGGTCCTTTTTCTACCATCACATAATCACCAAAATCATCTTATTTTTCAAAATAAAAAAATTACAGCCAAATCACTAATATGTATTACTTTCACCATTTCTTTCTAGAAATTAAGTGCATGGCACAGTGGAGTAAGAATGGAAGACTCCAGATTTCACAGGGATGTCAAATTCTACATAACCAACCAAACAAGGATAAAAGTATTCTATAACCAATACTTGTTATGTCACTTCCCTTTAAGAATTTTAAATAAGGTAACAGTTATTCATTCAACAAACATTTATTGAGCTCCAGAAAATGTGCTAGGTGCTAAGGAAATATAACTGTGAACAAGATAAACCAGGCTGTGGCCTCGACCTGATACTTTTGCTTTTCTTGCTGATTTCTACATGACATTTGATATTCTCTGGTAGAATTTTGTTTTTTGGAAAGTCAGAGTCATATGAGGCCTCTTCTGGCATACTTATAAAGTTTCTTTATGGCAAAATTGATAGAAATCTTTAACTTAGCGAAGGAAAAAAGATAGTCAGTCTAGGATAGTCAGCATCCTTTCAACAAACATGTTGAGGTCAAGTTAGCTCTTAAGCAATATGGTGGCTGGCGGCCAACGAGGCAGTTTAGACCATTCGGTTGCGCTTGTGAGTTGGGGAGTCTGTGATGCCTTCACCGCACTGGGTCGTGGTGCGCTTGCGGTTTCCCCCACTGTCCACGGTGAGGGCCAGTTCTGACTGGAGGAGGTTCAAGTCGCCCTCGAGGAAGCTACTTTTTCGGTGCCCGTTGCTGGCCACGGAGCTGTCTTGAGGCGGGGAGCCAGGGGCACTTGCTTGCACGCTGATGCTGGCCATGGCGCCGTTGAGGCAGTGCAGGGCGATGGCCTCGTGGAAGGGCTGCAGGTCGACGTCCACTGATGAGCCGGACTCAGTGACCTCAGCTTGGCTCGGGGCCCCAGCGGGCGGCTTCAGGGGCGTTCTGCTAGTGAGTGGCGCTGGAGGGGCAGGAGGCACTTTGCCGCACAGGAAGCTAATCAGGTCTTCGCGACGAATGACACTCCGGCCCTTTTTCACCCACTCCAACACATCTTTGATGCGACGCTGGTAGCCAACCTGGACGCCCAGGTCAAAACTTCGTTGGTGGGCATCTCCACTCTCTTTATAGAGGCTGGTCACGGCCATGGCTGCGTTCTGGAAGGGATCCCACATCGAGAATTCTGGCTCTTGGCACTCAGAATCCTTGTAGAGCTGGGCCACGGCGGTGGCCGAGTTCTGGAAGAGATACCACAGCTTCTGCTGCTCGCTCTTGAGCCCCGCCGCCTCAGGGGCCGCCTCTTCCTGAAGCTCGGGGGCCAGCTCCTCTTCTCGCTCTACCTCAGCCAGGCACTGACGTTCCCACTTTGAGAACCAGTGGTCCGCGACCTCCGCCTCGCCCTCCCTCTGCTGCTCCTCCATTCTCCTCCTCCTCCTCTGCCTCCTCACCTACTGCTCGGAGCTGCCCTCCTTCCGCGACCGCCGGCTTCTCCTCGTGCGCCGGCGGGCGGGCCGGCGCGCAGGCGACGGGGGCCCTGAGGCCAACTGCTAGCGCGCGCGCCGCCCGCGGCCCTGGTGCACGCCCCGCCCCTCCCCGCCCCGCCCCTCCGGGCCAGCCCCTGGCAACGCCGTGGTCGCTACCTTCGCGACCGCGGAGGTAACCCCGCAGCCGCCAGCGTCGCCGCTCTGCCCTCTTCTGGCCGCACCGTGTGCTCTTACAGCCCCCCCATGGCGCCGCGGCCTCTGCGCCGCCGCCGCCGCCGCCACCGCCTCCTGGGTCGCGGCTAGCGCTGCGACCCGGAGGCGTGTTCCCAGCCCCTGCTTGCGCCGAGAAGTCGGAGGGGGCCGGCAGGAGCGCTGCCTCGATGCGGCGCTTGCCTACCGCTTGGCCCCCTTTTCACACATTTTTGGGGACTTGACAGTTTCATCCAATGAGCTGAATAAATTTTACATCCTATGTTGCCAGAGAGGATTATGGGGCAACTTCATGGTGTCGATCCTATCCAGGTTGTCGATCGGGGAGGTCCGGGGATAGAATGCAAAGATTGTGGCCCTCGTGGGTAGGCAGGCAGTCTGGACCCCAGCAATGTTCTGCACACAGCAGGTGCCTGAGAAAAGTGTTTTCCGTGGACCAAAGCAGTATTTTGTAAAGGAAAAAAAAATCACATCAAGAAAAGCTCTTGTCCCCGCCGTCCCTTTTTTTGGGCCTCAGTTTCCCCATGTGTCCAACGAGTTCGGCGGATTAAGTCTCTAGAAAGCACTTCCAGTTGTGACTGAGAACTTTTGTGCTGTTCTTGCAAAGCACTTGTTGGGGGCTAGTTGCAGACTTAACTAAATTCTGCGAGTTAACAGCACAAATGTCATTGATCCCCTCCCACTCCTGTATTCTTGCAAAGGTTTTCTCATTAAGTAAAATTGGGTGGGGGTTCCGTATGGACTACTCTCAAATATTGAAAATTATTCCAAGATGAAGGGGCAAAAAGAAAAAAAGTAGAAAGCCCAAACACGGGATTTTCTAATCTAAGTGTAAGTTCAGTTCCTTTTAGGAAAGAAAAAAGGTACCTAATTTCCAACACCCTAAAAATTCTAGCTAGTTAAAACCTCATAATAATACCAAAACTAAGATAAAACGGTTTGGGAAACTAACATCTTTTCCTTGGGTTCAATAAAAAAATCCTTGTAATGATGCAATCCTTTTTCCCAGTGCAGACAATTCCACAGAAAACTATATTTAAAAAGAAAAACTATCACTGAGCTAAAAGTAACATCAAAATGGGAGGAACTAACATGCGATCATTTTTAAGATTTAGAGAAAAAAGTCAGAATGTCACAGTTTTTGTTGTGGCATATTTGTTAAGTATCCAGAAAGCCTTACAAACAACAACAACAACAAAAATACAGGAAGCGAAATCTTCTAGCAAAATATGTATAATAATTCCCAAGCATGGAAATTAGTACATAAAAATAAAATGATCTTATCATTAAGCTTCATCATCTTCCTTAAAGAAATACATGTTTCTAAGTTAAATTTAAAAGAGAAGAAGAAGAGGGAATTGTGCCCTTTCTCTGCAAACCAGGCTTTTTCACGATTCATTAAACCCTTTTTCCATATGTGTAATTGGACTCTTCTCATTTACATAAACGAAAGATGAGGCAAAAGACCTAAAATCAGCCCAAAAGGCCAGAGATGTTTCTCATTCTATGTTTTAAAAAATGTAGAAGAAAACTTAAGGAAGAGCCTCCTTCCTCACCCCCTCCCCACCAGACACGAATACTTCGTGGCCAAAGAGCCGATTCGTAGAGCTTTGAGGTTTGTCTGGGACATGCAGCCTCACAATTATTAGCAGAGGCACATGATTTTATTTTCTCTAAGTAAGAAGCTTGGACCAAAATGACCGACAGAACACCACATCCTACTTTCTCTCCTCATATTTGATTGGGTTAAAAACCAAGAAGAAAGACTGCACTGTCTTTTAAAGAGCACACCCCTCTGCTTAGGCTTGAGTTGTCTGGCTGGTATTCTCCATTCACTTGGTTTCAGCACCTGATTAATTAGTTAATTAGTACTTAGAGCTGACTAGCCCCGGTCGGCAATTTTCATGCCCTGCATGGTGAAATGTTGAATCCAGCATTGAAATTTCTATGTCACACACCCTAATTATTATCACCTCACCACTTTTAACACCATTGCACCAAATTATTATTATAGACAGGGCTAGACGACTGTGTGGGAATATGTTCTTTCTGAGAAGTAATGGTAGACAATATTTTTCACTGTCGCTCTTAACACATTTAAGTAAAACAATCGAATGGGGAAAATTCCAATCCACTTAGCCTCCAACTCCTTCCATTGAGAAAATGATTTTATGAGAGATGTCAGAAAAATCACACCAGAAATTGTAGTAATGCTTTTGTTAGTTCCCAAGATGCCAAAGAGTGTGCTTACACAATATCTCGAGATTAGTTTTGTTCCCATATATTCTAAAATCTTAAGAATTTCTAAAAAATATTAAAAAAGCATAAAAGAATTTCTTTAAATTTTTTTGTAGAAAATAGATACAAACCCCCCAAAAAGACTTTTTTTTACTCACTGTAAGGAAATGATGCTATGTGGAGGGGGGACTTTTAATGTTTAAAAAAGCTCACAGTTTAGGAATCAATTTTCTATGGGAAGAAATATTCCTTGGCCCTGCCCCATTCTTCCATAAATTTGATGTCATCACTTAGCTTAAATATCAACTACATAAAAAATAGCTTTCATAAAATAAGTTAGGACACAAACCTAGAAAAGTTTGATTTTTAGCATTTCTTAATGTACCTTTACTAAAAAGGGTCTTGTATGTCAGTGATTTCTAGTACAACTGGTAACTATTTTCACCTGGAAACAATCCTTATATATGAGTACTGGGTTGCCCGTAATTGTAAGAGCTAAATGGTACACAAAACTAGATACACAACCCCACAGACCAGTAAATGGGTCAGACTCAAAGCAAAAGTAAACACCAACCTTAGGAAATGAAAGAAGTTAAAAGATAAGTGTTAAGGACCTTATTCTTTTTGGAGAATAAAACAAGATTTAGTAGCTTTCCACTTAATTTAAATGAAAAGAATCACTACCTTACATATTGCAGTGATAATGTAATGGGGAAAGAAAACAAAAAAGTCTTTGTACAAATGACACCTCCTATAGTTGTTGTGAAGAAACTTTTCCCCTTGGTATCTGCTAACAAATTCTAATTAATGCTGCACATTCCTTTACTGAAATCATTTAATGCGTAACAAGGGGGGTAAAAAGAAATGCTGAATGCTCGTGATTGCCCTGTTAGAATTATGGGAGTGAAAGCCTGGGGCCCCAAACTTACTGTCTATTAAAGCCAAGCTTTGAAAAAGAAATGCAACCTACAAAAGCTGTCAATCTCCCTTGCCCCTAAAGCCTGGGTTCACATGGATTCAAGTGACAGCCCTCCTCCCCCATGCACAATACATCAATCTGTCTCTCCCACAAGCACCCACAGCCCATTGTGCTGGCCGCAGGTGCCTATTATGGCACCCATGGCTGCCTCCCACAGCTCCGCCCCTGAGAAACAGGAACTACAGACAATGGAGCCCTGTGGGAAGACAGAGGTGGGTGTTGGGAGGGATAACAGACAGATGGTAAAGGGTACAGAGTAGTAAGGTAGTTTCAAAACAAATGTCAAACATTCAAAATTATTGCTTTCGTGTGCCCCCCCTTTTGAATTGCCTTTGCTTCAATCACCATCTGCCATAATTATGAAAACACTTTACCTGTTAAGACGAATATTTGCTCTTCATTTTTAGTAGTGGTAGAAGGGATGACCTTCAATACTCCTGTTTAGCCTCTAGGTTTCTCAAGGTCACAGAATGAGGGATTTTAGTTAAGTGATGCCAATAGACCATACAGAGAAGGAAGGAATTTTTATAAGGTTTGTGATTCCTCTTCAAGCTTAGTTTGAAGCTCCAGGATGGGTAAAAATTATAAAAACTAGTAACTTTGGATAATATGCTATATTCGTGAAACCAAAGTACTATGAGACTTCATACAAATGTCACACCAAGCAGGTGGAAATTCTTAGACCATTTCTTTTCTGGAAAGGAGATATGAAAAGGGACATGAAGTAGATTTAATAATAAATAAAATGTCTAATTTAATAAATCTGACTCAGCCTCTTTTCCTATTCCTGAACATGCCACAATAAATAACAAAATTTGTTTTGAAAATTGCTAAATACTATTCACATCAAGTAACGCCAGAAAAAGTACATTTTAAATATTTCATTTCATAAAACGTCATTTATCTGTGGTGTTTTAATCTTCTGAGTTCAGTACTAATTAAAAAGCGATAAATAGAAGAATTAAAATACATGCCCCAAACACATATATTAGTTCTAATAATTTGATTTAGTTGCTTTTGTTCTTAAGTGTTCATCTCAGTATAACACTTATTCCTGTTTCCAAGATAATTTATTATAAATTAAAGCCAAATTAATAATTTCATCACTGCTATTACTACCTGTCTCAAACCAAAAGCGACCAAGAAAAATCTGGCACAAGTATAAGTCATAGTCAAGACAATTGGTGACTTGTTGGGATGAGGGTACCCCCAGAATAATGCCAAGGACTAAAACCAGCCAGTTTTCCTGAAGCAAACAAGAGAGTCTTGGTTTGCTGTCAAAAACCACAAACTAGGCTTTAACTAGGAACTGTCAGAGATCCAAGTGAGCTCCTGGCCAGGGAGAGCTTAATTAGCAGAGTTGGTTTGGGTTTTTAAATTACACAAGAAAAACAACCAATACACTATGAAAGCATACAGTGGTCTAATGTAGCACAGAATTCACTATTCCATTATATTTGTGTGTGTAGTGATTTTGTACATTTCATTAACAATTTAAATTTAGATTTTAAACA